ACTTGCGTGTTCCGCCCGACCCGGGCATTCAGGCCAGTCCGGCTGCCGCTCTAGGTGCTAGTGCGTCTGCTCCCACAGGTCCTGGTGAGGCCGCTGCTCTAGGTGCTCGTGCGTCCGTGCCCCCTGGTACTGAGTCGACTGCAGCACTGCACACCTTCACACTGGACTCAGGTGCTTCTCGCTCCTTCTTTCGTGACCGCACTGTCCTTGAGCCACTCGCTCGGCCAGTTGCTGTCTCCCTTGCTGACCCCTCTGGGGGTCCGGTCATTGCGACCTCCTCCACTGTCCTTCCTTGTCCGGCGGTCCCGTCCGGCACGCTGTCAGGTCTCTACCTCCCCTCGTTCTCTACGAACTTGGTGGCAGGTAGTGCGCTCCAGGACGGGGGTGTTCACCAGTTCACCCCTGCCTACGAGCGCGTGACACATTGCACGTGTGCTCGGACGGGTCGCCACCTGGCTACCTTCACTCGGGAGCCGGGGTCGGACCTTTACACACTGACCACTGTGTCCCCGTCTGCGTCAGGTCAGCTGTCCGCCCCCTGCTCGTGTCGCTCTCTGGCGCATGAGACTGTCCTCTGGCACCACCGCCTTGGTAACTCTGTGCAGCGCCTTCGGGCCATGCACAAGCGGGACCTTGTTGCTGGTCTTCCCAGGGTGCTCCCTCCCCTTCCCGACTCGCCTGCTCCTCCCTGTATTCCCTGTGTCGAGGGACGGCAGCGCGCCGCTCCTCACTCCTCCTCCTTTCCCCCGACGACTGCTCCCTTGCAGACGCTCCACATGGACGTGTGGGGCCCAGCCCGCGTCCGTGGTCAGGGTCAGGAGAGGTACTTCCTGATTGTTGTTGACGACTTCTCGCGCTACACCACGGTCTTCCCCTTGCGCGCCAAGGGTGACGTCCCTGATGTCTTGATCCCTTGGATCCGCAGATCTCGTCTCCAGCTCCGTGAGCGTTTCCGCTCCGACTTCCCTGTCCTGCGTCTGCACTCTGACAGAGGTGGGGAGTTCTCCTCTGGCCTATTGGAGGCCTTCTGTCAGCAGGAGGGCATTGAGCAGTCGTACACGCTTCCGGACTCTCCACAGCAGAATGGGGTTGCTGAGCGCCGCATTGGTCTGGTCATGGAGGTCGCCCGTACCTCCTTGAGCCATGCGGCTGCCCCCCATTTTCTGTGGCCGTTTGCAGTCCGATACGCTGCGCATCAGCTCAACCTCTGGCCCCGTGTCTCTTTGCCCGAGACTTCTCCGACACTGCGTTGGACGGGAGAGGCTGGCGATGCGTCGCGTTTTCGGGTCTGGGGATCCCGAGCTTTTGTCCGCGACACGTCCGCGGACAAGCTCTCCCGTCGCGCTGTCCCCTGCGTCTTCCTTGGCTTTGTCCCGGACGCCCCTGGTTGGCAGTTCTACCACCCCACCTCGCGGCGTGTCCTGGCCTCTCAGGACGTCACTTTTGACGAGTCCGTCCCCTACTACCGCCTCTTCCCCTACCGCACTGCCCCGCTCCCCCCCCCGCCTCTCTTCCTCGCTCCAGGTGCTGAGGTACCAGACCCCCTCCCCCCTCAGGGTGCCGCTCCCTCAGGTGTGTCCCAGGTAGACCCGGGTGAGCCTGTCGAGGTAGCTGTTGACTCTCGTCCTGCTCGGGGTGCTGAGCCTGGGGGTGCTGCGTCTGGGGGTGCTGAGCCTGGGAGTGCTGAGTCTGGGGGTGCGGAGCCTGGGGGTGCTGAGCCAGGAGGTGCGGAGCCTGGAGGTGCGGAGCCTGGAGGTGCTGAGCCTGGGGGTGCTGGGTCTGGGGGTGCTGCGTCTGGGGGTGCTGAGCCTGAGCGTGCTACACCTGGAGGAGCCCTCTCCTCCCAGCAGCTGCAGGAGAGGTACCTCGAGTACTGCCGCCTCCGGAGAGGTGCTGCTGGAGCTCGTCCCGGTACTTCCCCTCCTACCCAGGAGCTCCCCCCATTAGCAGATCCGCACACAGCGCTGCAGTCTTCGGAGTGGTGCTCCTGGTGCTGCGGACCCTGGGGGTGGCGCTGCTGCTGGTGCTGAGGACCCGGACGTTGGAGCTGCTGCTGGTGCTGCGGACCCGCCTGGTGGAGCTGCTGCTGGTGCTGAGGACTCGGACGTTGGAGCTGCTGCTGGAGCTGAGGACCCGGGCGGTGGCACTGCTGCTGGTGCTGAGGACCCGGACGTTGGAGCTGCTGCTGGTGCTGAGGACTCGGACGGTGGAGCTGCTGCTGGAGCTGAGGACCCGAGCGGTGGCGCTGCTGCTGCTGCTGAGGACCCGGGCGTGGAGTTACTACTGGTGCTGAGGACCCGGCTGGTGGAGCTGCTGCTGGTGCTGTTGACCCGGCCGCTGGAGTCTCCTCTGCTTCTGGAGACACTGCGCGGCCGCGACCGTACTTCGTACCACTCCTTCAGCAGGTTCTTGGGCAGGCTCCTCCTCCTTGTCCTCCTCCCTCCGTAGAGTGTCCTCTGCCTGTCCAGTCGCAGTCACAGTTACCGCCTACCTCGCCTCTCCCTGCTCCCTCTCCTTACACTGGTCCCACAAGAGGTCTTACAGAGCGTCGTGAGCCTGAGTCTCGTCCTGCGTCACCTGTTCGTCCTGCTCGCACTGGTAGTCGTGTCCGTCGTGAGCGTCCTCCTCCTGTCCCTGGCACTCACTACATGACTCTGCGTCCCTCTACTGCTCCTCAGCGTGTCCCTCTACCGTCTCCTCCCGCGTCTTCTTTGCCTCACGTTCCGGACCCTGAGTCTGACCGGTACCGTGCTGAGCACCCTACTGTCACGCGTCTCCTCGCTACTGTTGTCACTGACCCTACCTTTGAGTCCTCGACTGCGTCTGCTCTGGTCGCTGAGTTGGTTGACTTTGCTGCTGCCTGTCGTCTAGACTACACTGCTAGCCTTGTTGCTGAGTCTGAGTCTGAGTCTGTCTGTCCTCCGTCCGTCGGGGGTGAGTGTGCTCTTGGCACGGACGTCCTTGAGGACAGACAGGAGGAGTTCCAGTGTCTTGCTGCTGCTTTGCTCCGTCTCGTGTCCTTGCTAGTTGCCCCTGAGGGAGACCCGGATGCACCAGACATCCCGACCCCACGCACTTACGCTGAGGCGATGGCGGGTCCCTACTCCTCTCAGTGGCAGACAGCCATGGACGCCGAGATGGCTTCCTGGAAGTCCACACGCACCTACGTCGACGAGGTTCCCCCTCCTGGGGCGAACATCGTCAGTGGCATGTGGATTTTCACGGTGAAGCGGCCGCCGGGTTCTCCGCCTATCTTCAAGGCGCGTTACGTGGCTCGAGGCTTCAGTCAGCGAGAGGGAGTTGACTTCTTCCAGACCTTCTCCCCCACCCCGAAGATGACTACTCTTTGGGTGCTGCTGCACATAGCCGCTCACCGCAACTACGAGCTTCACTCACTTGACTTCAGCACTGCTTTCTTGCAGGGCAGCCTGCACGAGGAGATCTGGCTGCGCCGCCCACCTGGCTTTACTGGGTCGTTTCCTCCTGGTACCCAGTGGAGGCTTCAGCGGCCGGTCTACGGTCTCCGCCAGGCTCCGCGTGAGTGGCACGACACACTGAGGACTACACTTGCGGCTCTTGGGTTCGCGCCTTCTACAGCTGACCCGTCGCTGTTCCTGCGCACCGACACTTCGCTGCCGCCGTTCTACATCCTCGTGTACGTCGACGACTTGGTCTTTGCCACTGCTGACACTGCAGGACTCGCCTACGTGAAGTCGGAGCTGCAGAGGAGACACACGTGCACAGACCTGGGTGAGCTGACGAGCTATCTTGGCTTGCGGATCACCCGGGACAGAGCACGGCGCACCATCACCTTGACTCAGTCACACATGGTGCAGCAGGTTCTCCAGCGCTTTGGCTTCACGTACTCCTCGCCTCAGTCCACTCCTCTGCCTACCGGTCACTCGCTCTCAGCTCTGCCTTCGGATGAGTCCGTAGAGCCGAGTGGCCCGTATCCAGAGCTTGTGGGCTGCCTCATGTACCTGATGACCTGCACTCGACCTGACCTTGCATACCCTCTTAGCATCCTTGCACGCTATGTCGCTCCTGGCCGTCACAGGAAGGAGCACATGGATGCCGCTAAGAGGGTGTTGCGCTACTTGTGCAGTACGTCGGGCATGGGGCTTGTGCTTGGAGGGCGAGACCGAGTTGTGCTCACAGGGCACTCAGACGCTTCTTGGGCAGATGACCAGGCCACTCAGCGGTCGTCTCAGGGTTACACCTTCAGCCTTGGCTCTGGCTCAGTTTCTTGGCGCTCTACACGCTCTTCTTCTGTTCTCGGCTCCAGTTGCGAGGCTGAGATCTACGCTACAGCCATGGCTGCCCAGGAGCTACGCTGGCTGACCTACCTGCTGACTGACCTCGGAGAGCCGCCTCGTTCTCCTCCAGTACTGTACGTCGACAACAAGGCTGCCATTGCCTTGTGTGAGGAGCACAGACTGGAGCACAGAACGAAGCACATCGCCCTGCGGTACTTCCTTGCTCGAGAGCTGCAGCAGCGCGGTCAGCTTTGTATTCGCTACGTGGCCACTGAGGCCAACACTGCTGATGTGTTCACCAAGGCGCTTCAGCCTCGTGACCATCAGCGCTTCTGCACTCTACTAGGCCTTGTGCCTACTGGACCTCACTTGCTTACCTCTTGACTTTGCTTGTACTGTGATCACTATATATATATCTATACCTGCATGTTTATTCTTGCTAGGTTGTGATCACTGTATCTCATGCTCTGTTATAAACCTGCATGTGAACTGGTCTTGTGACCACTAGCTTGTGCTCGGAATTTGTGTGGTATCCTTGAGATCCACCCTGAGCTTGTTGTTGCCTTGCTTTGCCTTGACTGGTCTTGTGACCCCTAGGTCTCCCCCACTTTGCCTATGGGGGTGTGTCAAACATTATATATGTTGCATTTGTTAGGCTACAGTGGGTTAGCCTATATGGGGTACACAATTCTAGGGTTTGCTATTTGTACTGATTTCTCTGTTAGTTCAATCATTCCAGTCCGTTCATTCTGACACCATGTGCTCCTTCCTGTGACGGCCAGGAGCGACATAGCGTGCAAGGATGCTAAGAGGGTATGCAAGGTCAGGTTGAGTGCAGGTCATCAGGTACATGAGGCAGCCCACAAGCTCTGGATACGGGCCACTCGGCTCTACGGACTCATCCAAAGGCAGAGCTGAGAGCGAGTGACCGGTAGGCAGAGGAGTGGACTGAGGCGAGGAGTACGTGAAGCGGAAGCGCTGAAGGACCTGCTGCACCATGTGTGACTGAGTCAAGGTGATGGTGCGCCGTGCTCTGTCCCGGGTGATCCGCAAGCCAAGATAGCTTGTCAGTTCACCCAGGTCTGTGCACGTGTGTCTCTTCTGCAGCTCCGACTTCACGTGGGCGAGTGCCGTGGTGTCAGCAGTGGCAAAGACCAAGTCGTCGATGTACACGAGGATGTAGAACGGCGGCAGCGAGGTAACCCAAGAGCACGGCCAACAGCAGAACCCAAGAGCCGCAAGTGTAGTCCTCAGTGTGTCGTGCCACTCACGCGGTGCCTGGCGGAGACCGTAGACTGGCCGCCGGAGGCTCCACTGGGTACCAGGAGGAAACGACCTAGTGAAGCCAGGAGGGCGGCGCAGCCAGGTCTCCTCGTGCAGGCTGCCCTGCAAGAAAGCAGTGCTGAAGTCGAGTGAGTGAAGCTCGTAGTCGCGCTGAGCGGCTATGTGCAGCAGCACCCGAAGAGTGGTCATCTTCGGGGTGGGGGAGAAGGTCTGGAAGAAGTCTACTCCCTCTCGCTGATTGAAGCCTCGAGCAACGTAGCGCGCCTTGAAGACAGGAGGAGAACCCGGCGGCCGCTTCACCCTGAAAATCCACATGCCAGTGACGATGTTCGCCCCAGGTGGGGGAACCTCGTCGACGTAGGTGCCTGTGGACTTCCAGGAAGCCATCTCTGCGTCCATGGCTGTCTGCCACTGAGAGGAGTAGGGACCCGCCATCGCCTCTGCGTAAGAGCGCGGGGTCGGGATGTCTGGTGCATCCGGGTCTCCCTCAGGGGCAACTAGCATGGACACGAGATGGGGCAAAGCAGCAGCAAAGCACTGGAACTCCTCCTGTCTGTCCTCAAGAACGTCCGTGCCAAGAGCACACTCACCCCGACGGACGGAGGACAGACAGACTCAGATTCAGCAACAAGACTAGCGACGTAGTCTAGACGACACCGAGCAGCAAAGTCAACCAACTCAGCGACCAGAGCAGACGCAGCAGAAGACTCAAAGGTAGGGTCAGTGACAACAGTAGCTAGGAGACGCGTGACAGTGGGACTGGCAGCACGACGGGAGTCAGACTCCGGGTCAGGAAGAGTAGGTAGAGAGGACGCAGGAGGAGACGGCAGAAGGACACGCTGAGGAGCAGTGGAGGGACGCAGAGTCATGTAGTGAGTGCCAGGGACAGGAGGAGGACGCTCACGTGGGACACGACGACCAGTGCGAGCAGTACGAACAGGCGACGCAGGACGAGACTCAGGCTCACGACGCTCCGTAAGACCTCCTGTGGGACCAGTGTAAGGAGAGGGACCAGGGAGAGGCGAGGCAGGCGGTAACTGTGACTGGGACTAGACTGGCGGAGGACACTTTAAGGAGGAAGGAGGACAAGGAGGAGGAGTCTGACCAAGAACCTACTGAAGGAGCGGTACGAAGTACGGTCGCGGCCGCGCAGCGTCTCCAGAACCAGTAGAGACACCAGCGTCAGGGTCCTCAGTACCAGCAGCAGCTCCAACGCCCAGGTCCTCAGCACCAGCAGCAGCTCCACCGCCCGGGTCCTCAGCACCAACAGCAGCTCCAACTCCAGGGTCCGCAGCACCAGCAGCAGCTCCAACGCCCGGGTCCTCAGCACCAGCAGCAGGTCCTCAGCACCAGAAGTAGCTCCAACGCTCGGGTCCTCAGCACCAGCAGCAGCTCCACCGCCCGGGTCCTCAGCACCAGCAGCAGCTCCAACGCCCGGGTCCTCAGCACCAGCAGCAGCTCCACCGCCCGGGTCCTCAGCACCAGCAGCACCTGCAGTACCAGGGTCCGCAACACCAGGAGCGCCACTCCGAAGACTGCAGCGTCGCGTGTGCCACTCCCGGATCTGCTGAAGGGAGGGGAGCTCCCGGGTAGGAGGGGAAGCACTGGTACCAGCTCCAGCAGCACCTCTCCTGAGGCTGCAGTACTGGAGGTACCTCTCCTGCAGCTGCTGTGAGGAGAGGGCTCCTCCAGGTGTAGCACTCCCAGGCTCAGTACCGCTAGACTCAGCACCCCCAGACTCAGCACCTCCAGGCTCAGCACCCCCAGGCTCCGCACCTCCAGGCTCAGCACCCCCAGGCTCCGCACCCCCAGGCTCAGTACCCCCAGGCTCAGCACCCCCAGGCTCCGCACCCCTAGGCTCAGCACCCCCAGGCTCCACGCGCTCAGGCTCAGCACCCCTAGCAGACTCGACAGCTACCTCGACAGGCTCAACCGGGTCTACCTGGGACACACCTGAGGGAGCGGCACCCTGAGGGGGGAGGGGGTCTACCACAGCAGCACCTGGCGCGAGGAAGAGAGGCGGGGGAGGGAGCGGGGCAGTGCGGTAGGGGAAGAGGCGGTAGTAGGGGACGGACTCGTCAAAAGTGACGTCCTGAGAAGGCAGAACCCGGCGCGAGGTGACGTGGTAAAACTGCCAACCAGGCGCGTCCGGGACAAAGCCAAGGAAGACACAGGGAACAGCGCGACGGGAGAGCTTGTCCGCGGACGTGTCGCGAACAAAAGCTCGGGATCCCCAGACCCGAAAACGCGACGCATCACCAACCTTCCCCGTCCAACGCAGTGTCGGGGAAGTCTCCGGCAAGGAGACACGGGGCCAGAGGTTGAGCTGATGCGCAGCAAAACTCGAACTACAGCTACCTCGACAGGCTCAACCGGGTCTACCTGGGACACACCTGAGGGAGCGGCACCCTGAGGGGGAAGGGGGTCTGGTACCTCAGCACCTGGAGCGAGGAAGAGAGGCGGGGGGGGGGAGCGGGGCAGTGCGGTAGGGGAAGAGGCGGTAGTAGGGGACGGACTCGTCAAAAGTGACGTCCTGAGAGGCCAGGACACGACGCGAGGTGGCGTGGTAGAACTGCCAACCAGGCGCGTCCGGGACAAAGCCAAGGAAAACACAGGGGACAGCTCGACGGGAGAGCTTGTCCGCGGACGTGTCGCGAACAAAAGCTCGGGATCCCCAGACCCGAAAACGCGACGCATCGCCAGCCTCTCCCGTCCAACGCAGTGTCGGAGAAGTCTCCGGTAAGGAGACACGGGGCCAGAGGTTGAGCTGATGCGCAGCGTATCGGACTGCAAACGGCCACAGAAAGTGGGGGGCAGCCGCATGAACCAGGGAGGTACGAGCGACCTCCATGACCAAGCCAATGCGGCGCTCAGCAACCCCATTCTGCTGTGGAGAGGCCGGAAGCGTGAACGACTGCTCAATGCCCTCCTGCTGACAGAAGGCCTCCAAGAGGCCAGAGGAAAACTCCCCACCTCTGTCAGAGTGCAGACGGAGGACAGGGAAGTCGGAGCGGAAACGCTCACGGAGCTGGAGACGAGATCTGCGGATCCAAGGGATCAAGACATCAGGGACGTCACCCTTGGCGCGCAAGGGGAAGACCGTGGTGTAGCGCGAGAAGTCATCAACAACAATCAGGAAGTACCTCTCCTGACCCTGACCACGGACGCGGGCTGGGCCCCACACGTCCATGTGGAGCGTCTGCAAAGGAGCAGTCGTCGGGGGGAAGGAGGAGGAGTGAGGAGCGGCGCGCTGCCGCCCCTCGACACAGGGAAGGCAGGGAGGAGCAGGCGAGGGTGGGAGGGGAGGGAGAACCCTGGGAAGACCAGGGACATGGTACCGTTTGTGCATGGCACGAAGGCGCTGCACAGACGGGTGACCAAGTCGGTGGTGCCAGAGGACGGTCTCGTGCGCCAGAGAGCGACACGAGCAGGGGGCCGACAGCTGACCTGACGCAGACGCGGACGCAGCTACCTGAGGGGACTCAGTGGTCAGTGTGTACAGGTCCGACCCCGGCTGCCGAGTGAAGGTAGCCAGGTGACGGCCCGTCCGAGCACACGTGCAGTGTGTCACGCGCTCGTATGCAGGGGTGAACTGGTGAACACCCGCGTCCTGGAGCGCACAACCCGCCACCAAGTTCGTAGAGAACGAGGGGAGGTGGAGACCTGACAGTGTGCCCGACGGGACCGCAGGACAGGGAAGAACAGTGGAGGAGGTCGCAATGACCGGACCCCCAGAGGGGTCAGCGAGGGAGACAGCAACTGGCCGAGCAAGCGGCTCAAGGGCAGTGCGGTCACGAAAGAAACAGCGAGAAGCACCTGAGTCCAGGGTGAAGGTGTGCAGTGCCTCAGTCGACTCAGTACCAGGGGGGACAGACGCACGAGCACCTAGAGCAGCAGCCTCACCATCACCTGAGGTAGCAGACACGCGAGTACCTGCAGTGGCAGTCTCACTAGCACCTAGAGCGGCAGCCTCACTGGTCAGAATGCCCGGGTCGGGCGGAACACACAGGTACTGAGCACCCTCTCCACTAGTAAACATCGCATACATGGCAGTGAGAATAGCATCAAAGTCTAGAGCCCAGATATCAACTCCCTTCTTCATCAGATCAGCCCAGCGGGGCAGCTCAGTGGCATCAGGGAACTGGGTGCGCCAAGCGTCGTCAAGGCGCGAGAAACAGCGCTGCGTGGGGTGCGGCCTCCCACACGTCTGACCAGTGCGGTCACCAGTGCGGATGACGTACGTGCAGCTAAAGCCACCCGCCCCCCCGCGCTGCGAATACCACTCACGGGCCTCCTGGAGCGACGGGGTGTGCTGCTGGCTCAGACCACCGCCAGCGCCTCCACGACCACCACCGCCGCCGCCACCTCCTCGACCACCCCCTCCCCTGCCGCTGCCACGACCACCGCCGCCCCCGCTGCCGCCCCCCCCCTGCCACCGCCCCCGCCGCTGCCGTCACCACCCCCACTGCCGCCACTAGCCTCTCCAGCCCCACCTCCACTCCCACCACCTCCACCCCCGCCTCCCCCGCCGCCACCTCCACCCTTGCCCCCTCTGTTCCTGCGGCGCCCGCTCGGAGCGAACGCAGCCCCGACCTTCTCAGCACCAAGGAGGTCGACAGCAGAAGCAGAGGCTACAGAGGGGAGAAGGGGGGAAGGGGAACACCCCTCAAAGAAAGGGGTGCGGGGGTCGCCACGAGAGGCACCTACAGCGACGATGCTCGCCTCAGCTGCAAGTAGTTCCTTCTCGAGGAGGGCAGTAGTGAGCTCAGTGGGGCAGCGAGCTAGGAAGTGATCCCTGACTGCGCGCAGAGAGTCAGGGAGGCGGGTGACGATGTGGTAGAGAGTGAGCCAGAGCGGGGGGGGGTTCCTAGCAAGGAACTCATCGGGCATAGCAGCGCGGAAGCGGGCCTCACTAGTCTTGAGGTGGGTGATGAGGTCAGCAACTGTGTGAAAGGAGGCCAGGTCGGGGAACAGGTAGGGGAGTGAGAGGCGGCCTAGTGCGGCAGAAGCAGGTGAGGAGTAGCGAGCAACGACAGCAGTGTACAGTTCTTTGGCAGTCTTGTGCTGGCCGAAGTGCTCGCGCTCATCTATCAGCAGGGAGTTGCGAATAGCGAAGCGAGCGTGGGCGTCACGAGTCTGCCACTGCGAGCGGGCAGTGCTGTCAACATAAGTAGGAGGGGCAGTAGTATGGCCGAGGGCATGATCGTACAGTGAGACGTCCTCCTTGGCAGTGAGCTGTAGGAAGAGGTGCAGGTCATCGAGCCAGGTGTCAAATTTCACTGGGCGGCCCTCAGCATCGAAAGCGAGCACAGGAGGACTAGCCATAGTAGCAGCAGCAGTAGCAGTAGGTGCACCCGCAGCAGTAGCAGCAGTAGCAGTAGTAGCGGTAGGTAGGATCGACAGGGCCGCTAAGGGGCGGTGCGCGGGGTCGACGGGGCCGGCGGGGCCTCTATGCGGGGCGCGCGCGGGGACAGCGGGGCCGGCGGGGCCTCTAGGCGGGGCGCGCGCGGGGTCGACGGGGCCGGCGGGGCCTCTAGGCGGGGCGCGCGCGGGGTCGACGGGGCCAGCGGGGCCTCTAAGGGGCGGGTCGCAAGCGGGGACGACGGGGCCGCGGGGCCTCTAGGCGGGGCGCGTGCGGGGTCGACGGGGCCGGCGGGGCCTCTCGGAAAGGCGCGCGCGGGGACGACGGGGCCGGCGGGGCCTCTAGGCGGGGCGCACGCGGGGTCGACGGGGCCGGCAGGGCCTCTAGGCGGGGCGCGCGCTGGGTCGACGGGGCCGGCGGGGCCACTAAGCAGGGCGCGCGCGCGGTCGACGGGGCCGGCGGGGCCTCTAGGCGGGGCGCGCGCTGGGTCGACGGGGCCGGCGGGGCCACTAAGCGGGGCGCGCGCGGTCGACGGGGCCGGCGGGGCCTCTAGGCGGGGCGCGCGCTGGGTCGACGGGGCCGGCGGGGCCACTAGGCGGGTCGCGAGCGGGGTCGACGGGGCCGGCGGGGCCTCTAGGCGGGGCGCGTGCGCAGTCGACGGGGCCAGCGGGGCCGAGTAAGAAAAAAGGAGAGAAGCGCGCGAGGGCGCTGGGGGGAGGCGCTAGGGCGCGTTCCGACAGTAGGGCGCACGAGGGCGCTAGTAGACAGTCAGTAGTGGTGGGCCCGGAAAAATTAGGTCCTAGTGAAGGACCTGCTCTGAAACCATGTCAGAATAACTGAGCAGGAATGAATGAACTAGCAGGAAGTTTGGTACAAGTAGGAAACCCTAACTTTGTGTACCCCCTAAGGTGTAACCCACTACAGCCTACACAATATAAACATATAATGTTTGACACGACGGTCCAGATGCGCTGCAACCGTCTGACTCTTCGGTTTGATTCCTACTGTCTTACGGTTCGCGTTCATTCCCGTTACTGCGTGCTTCTCTAGCTGCGGCGAGGAGTGCACAGTAATACAAATATTATTATTCGTAACAAATGGCACACTCAAGATGACCATATTGATAACAAGATAAGAATGATACATATTTCAATTATTCAATTATCAACAATCAAACCACTAGCAACAGCTTGGAACTTACGTGATACACAAACGAAAATATTTTGCTGACTTGGTTATGGGTGAACAGTCCCACCCAGTTGGCTAGGGTTTCGTTCTCCCCCCAACCAACTGCTCTTCTGAACTCTACTCAAATGCTCTTGGGGTTTTCTCTCACACCCTTTCTAACTTTCTTGAAGCCATTCAAGGTATCCAACCACCTTCTCACGTACATATTCTAAACTACCTTGTTAGTGGCTAAGCCGTGCGCGCCTACAGCGCTTGCCCTCGTGCATTACGCAATATAGCATAGAGCACTCGCCGTAGGGCGCTCACGTCTTAACGCTCAAACCTAGACTGATGGCTCTTAGGCTGCTGGCCCTTGGGCGTTAGCGCCAAGGGCGTTGGCCTTACAGCGCTCGCGCCTTATGCGTCATTGGTGTGTAAGGCGCGGGCGCCGTTGGGCGCTGGCGCCGTTCGCGGCGGCGCCTTTGGGCGCTGGCGCTGCCTCCTTTTGGCGCTGGCGCTGGCGCCTTTTGACGCTGGCGCCCTTTGGCGCTGGCGCTTAGCGCGCTTGCGCCTTTTGGCGCTAGCGCTTAGCGCGCTGGCGCCTAGCGCGCTGGCGCCTTTTGGCGCTTGCGCTTAGCGCGCTGGCGCCTAGCGCGCTGGCGCCTAGCGCATTGGCGCCTAGCGAGCTGGCGCCTACCGTGCTGTTCGCATAGCGCGCTGACGCCTAGCGCACTGGCGCCTATCGCTCTGGCGCGTATCACGCTGGCGCCTAGCTCGCGCCTAACACGTTGTTGCCTGGTGCGCTAGGCTGCTTATTCTTCTTGTGCAGGCTGTGGAAGTTGTCTTCTTTGTTTTTGTTTTTTTCTTTCCTTTTCTTTTATGCAGGGTGTATGATGCGATTTCTCTGTTATTGCTTCTTGTGCAACGTAGTGGAATTGCATTGTCTGATTCGCATTCTTCTGCAAAGTATCTGAGCTGCATTCTGTGTTTCGCCCTTTTCTGCAAAGTGTCTGAGTTGCATTTGCTGTTTTTTTTTTTTTTTTTTCTCCTTTCTTTCTTGTGCACGGTGTGTGAATTTTGTTTCCTGTTTTGCTTTCTTGTGCAGGGCGTATGAGAAGCATTCTTGCTTGCTGAAAGAAAGGGAGGAGGATAAGTTGTTAAATTGTAATGTGTTATATGTTGGTAGGCTGTAGTGGGGTAGCCAATATGGGGTACAACCCCAACTAGGGTTTCATATTTGTACCCAATCTTCTGCTAGTTCATCCATTCTTGCCTAGTGATTCTGACATGGTATTCAGAGCAGGAGGTCCCTAGGACCTACC